CGGTTGTGCCTGCTCATGGCAGGTGGGTTGGAACTAAATGATCTTTGAGGTCCCTTCCAACCCTAACCATTCTATGATTCTATATTACTCAGTTGAGCTGGCAAAAAAGTATTTCAAGTTAAAGAGTTGTGTTACTTTTTTGATTATTAGACTGTTAGGTTAAACATTGTCCAATGACAGTGACACAAGTCAGTGAGTAAGTCCCATCTTCCTTTAGATATTACTCAGTATTGAGGAACTCAGTAAAGAAATTAGCAATTCGTAGCGTGGATGCCATCTCCAAAGAACTCATCAGGGAAACATTCCTGAAGCCCAGTGAATGTAGCTGCTGGTGTACTGTTTAACTCTGAAGGTAGAACTACTTTTTTTTTTACTTCTTGAAAGCAGTATAGTTAGTCCATTTTGGAGCTGGTTGTCATTAATATCTTGCCTTTTTTATAACAGTTTTGTTTGAAAAATTGTAGTGGGGAAGTAGTCTGTTAACTTGAGGTCCCCTTTGGTTTCCTCTGTGATTCTGGAGTTTGTGTGAGGAGTGAGAGATGTGTCTTTGATCACTTAAAGGTCACTCTTAAACAACTTTGAGCTCTTGTACACTGCAAGGAGCTCTCAAAGTTCCTTTCAGAGACTAGCAGCATCCCTGTCACTCCTATATGCAAAAGACAGAAGCAGAGGTACAAACACACCGAGGTTGGCCAAATTACTGAAGAGGAGGAACGTTGGCAGAAACGGGTTCCTGTGTTCCAGGTCTCACTACCATTGGAAAGCAGGGAATAGACACAGGGTTGTTGTTTCTGGTGTCTTGAGTGTGGCTCTGAGCCTGACAGCTTCATTGCATCTTCCCAGAGCTTCACTTGTTCGTATATATATATAACTAGAAAGCTTTGTATATCATAAAATACAGAGGTTTTGTAAGACTTATTTTCAATTCTTCGTATAGGTAATTGTTCTCAATGATTATATGTACAAATAGTAAATGAAAAGTGTTTCTAAATGCTAGTTGTGTTGAAGCAAGAGACATTCTCAAAAGACATGCTGCATATTGAACGTGTGTTTTGCTTAGAATATTTCTGATTTCTTTGTGTGTAAGTCTAACCATCATCATGATCCTGTGGTGTTGGAAGGTGCAGTTTAGGGAAAGCCAAGTACAGGCTCCACCAAAACGGGTAGTCCTGGCTTATCCCATCTGTAAGAGACCATTTCTGCTGTCTCAGTTATCTGGATCAGAAAGCTGGTTTGCCTGAAAAATAGCACAGGAAAACAGAAATGGAAGTTGTCTGCCTGGTACAGCTGGCTAAGCCATCTCCTCAGTACCAGTGCAAGAGGCAGGGGGAGGACGCTAGATTGTCGTTTTCAGCAGCAGCCCACACTGGTTTTGCCTAAATGAGTCAGGAAGCCGTATTCTAAGAAAGCAAATGACCAGTTTTACTTGAGATGTAAGATGCATATAAGATTTAAGAGATATAAAACAGAGAGAGATTTAATTGTCATTTAACAGCTCTAGGGAGAAGTGCCTGGCACTGTTCCGTCATGTTTATGTAGCTCCCAAGTGATCTTTATCATCGTGCTTTCTTTTTTACAACTGTGGTTTTCTCTCTCTGCTTTCCTAGAGAGCTTCATGTATGTTGTTTGATTTGCTTTGGTCTTAAATGGAAAGGTTGGGTAGCGTTTGAAGGCAAGGCTGGAGACAAGAGCTCTCTACCTGTCACAGAGAACAGACGGGCCCGAGATGTGTCCTAGTTCGTGCAAAAACAAATTCTGGTCTCGGTCCTGGCCTCGTGGAGGCTCAGGAGCCTGCACAGGCAAATTCCATACTTGCAGTAAATGTACACCATCACGGGCTCTTGCTGACAGCTTCAGTCAGCTGGCACAGGAAGCTTCACAACCCCAGGCAACTTCTGATCATCCATAGCTTAAGTGCTTTAACATTCTGGAAATAAAGATCTGCAGCTTAAACTTGGCACAGGGCGCTGTGAGAAACCAGCGAAGCACAAGGAAGAGCAGAAGGCGAGGAAGTTCAGGCAGTGTAGCCAAGCAGACACCTGGGTGCATGGCAGCTAGTTATCTGGTGCTTTTCTGGTGGAGCCTGGCGAGCCTGCCGGAGTGCATCGCACTGCTGCTCCGCATAGGGTTTAGGAGGGGAACATAGTGCCAAAGCCAAGCTACCCCTCCTGAGAGGCCAGGGCACCTCACTAAGAGAAAATGTGTTGTGTTACTGCTTGAGATTTCAGTATTTGGGCAGAGTCCAATGCGGTTTTGCTTGCAGTTTGGGTACTCAGATGTAATGGCTGTGATTATGAACTTTCTTCTTTTATCTTGCGGTGGTCTGGTGTCATTTTGTTCCTTATCATCCACTATCACATTAGAGGCATAGGTTTATCAAATACCTTATCAGGTGAATGACAAGTATTTAGTTAGTTTTATGTTGATGAAGAAGAATATTATGAAGTTTGTCTCTTTTTCTTCTTTGGTATCTGAAAACTTTGCGGAAAACTCACCTAAGCAGTATCCTGTGCAAGTAATCTGATGGCTCAATACCAGGTTTTCCATTATTACTGTAAAGGTACTTGCTTCCAGGAAAGATCAATCAAGTGCATTTCTGTGGATTCCTGCCATGAAGATTGTACTATAGTGATACGAGTATGTCCTCATGAAAGATGAAGAGTATTGCTACATCTAGGCTTCATATCTGAAAAACGTTACTACAATCTCTTTTTCACGTTTGGAGATTGCTTACTTGAGGTTTCTTGTTTCTTTTTTCTTTTACTGAATAGACTTGGATTATCACTTGCTTTTGTCTTCAACTACTCCTACTTAATCCTCTTGTCAAAGCCCAGAGTTCCTGCGGGAATCCAGTGACAGATGATGTGAATGACATTGCAAAACTGGTAAGTAGCTTTTATTGTAAATTATTCTTTATGTTAAGCAATAATCAGTGGCTCATGACACTTACATTTTTAAGCAAAATTAGCAAATCTATATTAGGACTAGGGTAATATATATATTAAAGAAAAAAATCTATCAACGTCTGTCACTTGATCAAAACCAAAACCTTTATTGCAGAGACTGGAGAATAGTTTCAGAGTTCACTGAAGAGATGTCCTTCTTGACCAAGCTGGAGTGTATGTACATATGTGTTTTCCTCCCTCCAAACTTCCATAAAAATTGTCAGGGAACAGATTGCTTCCCATGCAGATGAAAGATTATTGCCTTTGTTACTGGTTTGTGTGGAGCAGACTGGCAGCAAACACAACTGCAGTGAACCAGGAGTCTTTACCTTAGGTATGTGGGAAACTTATGCCATATGTAAAAGTAATATGATGTTAGATGTCATTGTAGCAATGAAGGCAATAACGATTGAACAGCTCTTACAGTCTTTAGGTGTGAGTGGGCTACACTCATTACATGTTTCTCTCTACTTACTGTACATAGAAGTTTAAGTCTGAAGGACTCACAGCTTCATATAAGAACTGAATTCATTTATGTACATTTTAACTGTTACTTAATTGAACACTGCATTAACCTGAAAAACTGCATCTCCTTGTGTGAAGTCAGTTGGTATTTAGCTCCACTAAAGTCAGTGATTATGCTAACTTGCAGTAGTGCAGGATCTAACACCGAAGGTAAGAAATAATATATACTGAATATTTAACAAGTATGCCTTCATCTACGTATTTTTCAGCTGAAAATTATGGCTTCATTATGGAAAAACGGTTGCAATACCAGCTTTAATATTATCAAACACTTCATTTGGAGTCCCTTGCATTTGCTGCCAGTGCAGTGTTCTTAACTTGTTTTCTTTTGGCATTATAATCTACATTGGCACACAGTGTAAATCTCTGGGGGTGCTCTATAGTCCTACTCAAACGCTTAGTGCTTCATGTTAGTCCCTTTAGGCAGAATTCTGAAGTATTGGCATGTTTATTCAATATAATATTTCATCTCTTGAAAGAGTATTAATCTTTGATTTAATCCTGTTGAAAACATAACAGAACAACAGAACTCCTGTGAGGGCAGGTGAAATTGTCTAGTACAGGATTAGCAATAACTTTTTGTCAGTTGTATATCCTCAGAACAAACGCTTTAACTTCCCCTGTAGTACAACTTGGACTTCAAGAATGTATAAATACAGATTACAAAAGTTTACATGCAGCTTGAGCAATCAAACTTTGCTTTTGAGATAAATAGTGAAAGAAACCTAATATCATAAAAATTAGATTAGTCTTTAATTTGACTGTGACTTTCCGTATCATGTTCCTACATCTTCCTCCAGACTAGTCTAACAACTGCAGTTCTTCTACATATCCCTGCAGCACTATGTTTCCATACCCCCACTATCCTCCACATCCCCTCTTAGCTCTCTACATGCGCCGTGGTTGCTAGTTCCCTCCTATGATCCCTAGACATGTTGCCTATCTGAGATAGCCTAGCTGTTTTGAGCTCTTGCTGGATTTATATCCCTTTTCACTTGGGCTGCTGACTTTGCAGGAAGGTCTTCATGTGGCAACTGTTCTGATGTATGCGCTCCTTGTCCAGGAAGAAAACTTCAGTCCAGCTTGCACTGCGCTTCTGCTGCTGCCAAGCTTGGACAGAGCAGGGTAGGGCTGAGCTCCTCCAGCCACTCCTCAATGTGGATGCTGAACAGTCCTTCTCCTGACTTATGCCTTTACCCTTCAGATCTCTCTACCAAATGCAAAATTGGGGTGAAGTTGGCTAACAAGTTTAAAGATATTTTGGTTTGGAGAAATAACAGAGAGATGCAGAAAATACAAAGCCCAGATACCTGGATTCTCTTTGTTTTGAGTTGTGCTTCTGAGAATGTTTTGAGAAAAGTCTGTATCCCTGTTCTGTTTGTGTTAATATATGCATAGATTTTTCATAGAATCATAGAATGGTTAGGGTTGGAAGGGACCTCAAAGATCACCTAGTTCCAACTCCCCTGCCATGAGCAGGGACACCCTCCACTACACCAGGTTGCCCAAAGCCTCATCCAACCTGGCCTTGAACACTTCCAGGGATGGGGCATCTACAACTTCTCTGAGCAACCTGTTCCAGTGCCTCACCACCCTCAATGTAAAAAATTTCTTCCTTATATCTAATCTAAATCTGTCCTCTTTCAGTGTAAATCCATTGTCCCTTGTTTTATCACTACATGCCCTTGTAAAAAGTCCCTCTCCAGCTTTCCTGTAGGCCCCCTTTAAGCACTGGAAGACTGCTATAAGGTCACCCCGGAGCCTTCTCTTCTCCAGGCTGAACAAACCCAACTCTCTCAGCCTGTCTTCACAAGAGAGATGCTCCAGCCCTCTGATCATCTTTGTGGCCCTCCTCTGGACTCGCTCCAGCAGCTCCATGTCCTTCTTGTGTTGGGGACTCCAGAGTTGAATGCAGTATTCCAGGTGGGATCTCACAAGAGCAGAGTAGAGGGGCAGAATCGCCTCCCTCGACCTGCTGGCCACACTTCTTTGGATGCAGCCCAGGATACGGTTGGCTTTCTGGGCTGCAAGTGCACATTCATGTGGAAATAATTGCTATAAAGCCACTTGAGAATTGAAACGATAACATGGAAATAAGTTTAGTATCTTAAATTAGAACTCTTGGTTTCAGTTAAACTGACTGTCTTAAAAGTTGGTTATTCTCTTTTGAACTGCTGCACCATGACTATTTGACATGGAGAACAAAATGAAAAAACCTATATATAATAAGATTTAAAGTACTTTAAAAAAAATTATCATTAGCTGACAGTTTGCTGTTAGAAGAGAGTTTGCTGTTATTCACAGAGACATTCACTGACAGATGAGAAGGGAGAAATTCACAGATCATACTGATTGATCGCATTTTTTTGGCTAAAAGTATGATGGTTTTTGCGCTATGTGAATGTTGTGGTTTAACTTCAGCCAGCAACTAAGCACTATGCAGCCACTTACTCACTCTCCCCCCACAGCGAGGTATGGGAGAAAATCAGAGAAAAATGGTAAGAAAACTCCTTGGTTGAGATAAGAACAGTTTAATTCATGAAATAAAATGTAATAATAATAATAATAATAGTAATAAATTGTAATGAAAAGGAAAACAACAATAAAAAGAGATAAAACCCAAGAAAAGCAAACGATGCGGCCGCTTACCACACGCCAACCGACACAGCCAGTCTCCAAGCCGTGATCACCACCCCCAGCGAACTCCCCCTAGCTTATATACTGAGCATGATGTCTTATAGTATGGAATATCCCTTTGGCCAGTTTGGGCCAGCCGTCTTGGCTGTGTCCCCTCCCAGCTCCTCCAGAAGAAGCTGGGAGGGCAGGGGCAGTATGTGAAGCTGAAAAAGTTCTTGGCCTAATGTAAGCATTGCTTGGCAACAACTAAAACATCAATGTGTTATCAACATTATTCTCAGCACAAATCCAAAACATAGCCTTACATTAGCTACCATGAAGAAAATTAACTCTATCCCAGCCAAAACCAGCACAATGGAGTATATCCTTAGTACATATAGAATCATAGAATGGTTTGGGTTGGAAGGGACCTCAAAGATCATGTAGTTCCA